TGAGCTTTAGTCAACTTCTATAATTTGAATAATGTTCGAAATGGGAAGTATCGATAGATGGAGGAAATTTAGCGGGAAATATATGAATCTAACGCCACCTAGTGTTGACGCTCAATGTGATTTTATATGTTATACATGTGCATTTATATTTAATTATTATTATACAATACAATTAAATATTTGAAATAAATTACGATATTTTTACCACATTATTTATTAAATAATAATTAAATAATTATATTTCTTTGTTAATTTATATTTCGTTAAAATACAAAGTTAAATATAAGTTATTGTTACTCTCATAGAGAGTTTTCATTCCTTAGATTTTATTAATCATACATCATGGTAAGTAATTATTAAAAAATAATTGATGAATAAAAATTTCATTATTTAAAATATAATATTTTATTTGATATAATTAAATGTGTGTGTGTGTAGATACTTGTAAGGAAATGATTTAATCTGAAAATATTTTTTGTCAAATAAGTTTTACCAATTGCTTGTATTTTCTTTTATTATATCATAGAGTCAAAATAGTTCACCTGTTAGATCGGACAGGCAAACAGAGATGATGACATCTCCTGCACCAGAAATAGATGAACCTTTTGAAGATGAAAGTGCATTACTTGATGAAGAAAATGATATTAATAACCAACAAGAAGAAGAAGAAGGAGAAGAATTATTTGGAGATAACATGGAGGCGTAAAACATTATATATAATATTATAATATATTTATGGATTAAAATATTCATTTTTTAATTAATCAAATATTTTATTGTACAGTGATTATCGTCCCATGCCAGCTCTTGATAGATATGATCCTGCAATGCTTGACGATGATGAGTACTCTGAATTGTCTCAAGGAGATCGTGCAGCAGCTGAACGAGAAATGCGAAGAAGAGATCGTGCAGCTGGAATTCTAAGGGATGATAGAGATTTACTTTATGGTAAAATTCTTTCTATAGTATTGTATCATTTATAGAAATATTCATTTTCACTTCTAGTTTTAAGCATTCTTTGATTATTATATTCTTACATTTGTATACTATAATATAAATGTATTAAATAAATTATAGATGATACCGATGAAGATGATACTCAAACTCACAAGCGACGTATGGCTGAAAAGGCTGCCACTGGTGAAATTGATGATATAGAAGTACAAATCTACTTATTATTTATTTTTACAAATATAATTCTTTATTTATTATCATTTAAAAAATTTCTCTTTTCCTAATTTTAGATAATAGAATCTATTGAAAATTTAGAAGATACAAAAGGCCATTCTATCAAGGAATGGGTTACGATGTTAGGACCACGAACAGAAATTTCCAATCGTTTTAAAAGTTTTTTGCGTACCCATACAAATTCAAAAGGACAATATATGTATAGAGAACGTGTTCGTCACATGTGCGAAAGTAATCAGGTAGTAGAAGTAGAACATTTGTTTTATGAGTAATTTTGTGTATATTGATTTATTTATTGATTTTGGTTTACAATTAATTTCGTCGATTAATCTTTTAATTTTTATCATAGTCTAGCTTTATCGTGGAATTTCCTATTCTTGCAAGTAAAGAACATGTTTTGGCTTATTTTTTGCCTGAAGCTCCGTTTCAAATGTTACAAATATTTGATGAAGTAGCTAAAGATTTGGTATTAACTATTTTCCCTAGTTACGAAAGAGTTACAAGTGAAATTCATGTTAGAATATCGGAACTTCCATTAATAGAGGAATTACGTACGTTTAGGTATAAGCTATGATAATTTGATTTTCTCACATTTTATATCTTTTATGTTTGTATTTCTTTCAATATTATTTAACTTATTTTGAAAATATAGGAAGCTACATCTTAACCAATTAGTTCGAACTCTTGGTGTTGTAACAGCTACGACAGGAGTGTTGCCGCAATTATCTGTCGTGAAATATGATTGTTCTAAATGCGGATACGTTCTTGGCCCATTTGTACAATCACAAAACTCAGAAGTGAAACCGAGTTCATGTCCAGAATGTCAAAGCTTGGGTCCTTTTATGGTAAGCATATTTTGTTTTGAAGATATGGGTCATTTCTAACATACATATTTATATTGATAAATCATTTTCAGATTAATATGGAACAAACAATCTACAGAAATTATCAAAGAATAACAATTCAAGAATCTCCAGGTAGAGTACCTGCAGGCAGAATACCAAGAAGTAAAGATTGTATTTTATTATCTGATCTTTGTGATCGATGTAAACCAGGAGATGAGATAGATCTTACAGCTATATATACTAACAATTATGACGGTTCTTTAAATACAGAACAGGTTGATTATACATTTAATACCATTTATTATTAAATAATCGTTCTACTATATATCTTTTAAACTGTTGTAATTATTGATTATCTTAAATAGGGATTTCCAGTTTTTTCTACAGTATTATTGGCTAATTACTTATTTGTAAAGGATTCTAAAGAAATTGTTGAATCTTTAACCGAAGAAGACATCGCTAGTATTCTTGCTTTAAGTAAAGATCATCGTATCGCTGATCGAATTGTTGCAAGTATTGCTCCTTCTATCTATGGACATGAATATATTAAACGAGCACTGGCGTTAACTATTTTTGGAGGAGAAGCCAAAAATCCTGGTGAATAAATCACAAATTAATTTTGTCATATTACAAAGAAGAAAAAAATTGTTTGACATGTTTATATTAATTGAGATATTCTTTTATTTTAAAAAGGTAATAAGCACAAAGTAAGAGGAGATATAAATGTTTTGATCTGTGGTGATCCAGGAACAGCCAAATCTCAATTTCTAAAATATATTGAAAAAATAGCTCCAAGAGCAATTTTTACAACAGGTCAAGGAGCTTCTGCTGTAGGTTTAACCGCGTATGTACGTAAATCACCTACTACACGAGAATGGACGTTAGAAGCTGGTGCTTTGGTTTTAGCAGACCATGGTATTTGTCTAATTGATGAATTCGATAAGGTAATACATTCATATAAACCATTGTAGAAATTATTATATTATATGATTCTATTAATTTAGATTTTTAATATTATATTTGTAGATGAACGACGCAGATAGAACATCTATACACGAAGCTATGGAACAGCAAAGTATTTCTATTTCAAAAGCAGGAATCGTTACATCATTGCATGCTAGATGTTCAGTAATAGCTGCATCCAATCCAATTGGAGGAAGATACGATGCCAGTATGACCTTTTCAGAAAATGTAAAAAATTACTTATATTTAAAAATAACTGTTTATAAATTACGTCATATGAGTTTATATTTAAGAACATTGTATTATTATAGGTGGATTTATCGGAGCCAATTATTTCCCGATTTGATATACTATGTATAGTAAAAGATGAAGTGGATCCTATGCAAGATAGACATTTAGCTAAATTTGTGGTAAACTCGCATGTTAAACATCATCCGACTAATTCAGAAAAAGCAGTACCACCAGAACCAACCGAGACAACTGAAAGTCTATCTATTCCTCAAGATCTTCTTAAAAAGTATATTGTCTATGCTAAACAAAACGTTCATCCTAAATTAACTAATATTAACCAAGATAAAGTTGCTAAATTATACAGCCGTTTGAGACAAGAAAGTTTGGTAAGTTTAAATAGTGTTGCAGTATAAGTACAGGGATATATAATGTACTTTTTAGAAATTTATATGCTGTAAATAATTAACTAAATTAAATCATCAACACCATATTGACTTGCAGGCTACAGGAAGTTTACCTATAACGGTACGACATATTGAAAGTATTATTCGTATGGCTGAAGCTAGTGCAAAAATGCATTTACGAGATCATGTGCAAGAAAGTGATATTAATCTTGCTATTAGAATGGTTTTAGACAGTTTCGTTGATACACAAAAATACTCTGTTATGAAAAGTATGCGTCAGGTATGTAAATTGTAAATGTAATTTTAATTTGACCAATATTTGAAGAGTCCTAGTAGAAAACACATAAATTGCTTTTTAATCTCGTAATTACTTTCTGCTTCTTTTTAAACTTGATGTTAACATTTTATTATTTCAGACATTCCAAAAATACTTATCATATAAAAAAGATCACAGTGAACTTTTATATTACATACTTCGTCAAATTACGTTGGATACATTAGCATTCCAAAAAGCCTTACATGGGAGTCGAATTACAACTCTTGAAATATCCGAAAAAGATTTATTGGATAGGGTAATACAAACTATATTGATTGTAAAAATATTGTGTATCCATATACAGTAATTTTTTTTTATATTTCTGGTAATTAGATACGATACTAATTTCATTTTCTTTTTCAGGCTAAACAAATCGACATACATAATTTACATCCATTTTATGAAAGTGATATTTTCAAAACTAATAATTTTGTATACGATTCTCGAAGAAAGGTGATTATTCAAACTCTTCCAGAAAATGTTGATGACTGAGGAATCCATTAAATATTTCCATTATATATTTTAAATAATATTTCTTAAGTTTCTTTTTTCACACACACAAAGGCATTTTTACTAATTAAAGAAACTTTTATTTTATGAGCATTTTGTATGTATTCATGTAACTGTTTATACGATTATTTTAATAATGAGTAATTGTAAGTGAAATATGTACCGAATTACATTAATTTTATTACATATTGTATATCTGTTTCAAAAGGTCTATACTCTTATGCGTATTGCTATGACTTTTCTCTAAAAAAAATTAAATTACATAAATGTTATATCGCAAAGAATATAATTTATATGTTGGTACTAATATTCGCCAAATAAACGAAGGAATGAATGATAAATGAATGAGGTTGGAGTATATTAAAAAGTAGAGCGAACATTAGACTTTAGAGAAGTAATATAGAAAGCGTATTACTAACGAAAAACCTTGCTTTATAAAGAAAGGAAATATATATTTCTTTAATTTTCTAATCTTTTAAAACTCTGGCAGTCATAAGGATTCTACGAAAATAGATTTAGGGAACAAGTAATTAAGAATTATTATTTCAAATTTATATTACATATAATTGTTTCCTATTCGTTAGTCACATTTGATACATTTAAATAAAAAAAGAAAATAGAGAATATCCTATTAGCAAATAATAGATAAATTTGTAGTAAAATATGTAATGTATAAAAGATATTAGGATATTCCACGAGTGTTTTGTCTTACCGACTAAGATAGAAAAACATATATATATAAATGATACTTTTTAGAGAAAATAAAAAAAGCTATTTTACAAAAATAAGCATGTAGTATGTCGAGAAAATAATAATAATAAGTCTGATTTTTAAATATATCACATATTTCAGTGTGAAGAGTTACTGCTACTACTGCTACTGCTACTAGAAACACTATCATTCGAGTCTGACTCACTGTCCGAAGAAGAACTGCTACTACTACTTTCACTACTGCTACTAGAACTGCTACTATCGGCACTAGAAGAGCTTGAATCGCTGCAACTACTTGATTCTTTTCTCATTCTTTTTCTTTTCTGACCATGAGACTTCTTAACTTCTTCTTTCTGTTCATTTCTGTAAATAAATGGTTTACATTCTATGTTATCTCTATAACTCTTATAGCATACATACAAAATATAATAATTACATAATTATTTAAAGATATACATACATTTTATTATCCTCTTGCATTTTTAAAGCTAATTTAAGTTGCACAGTACGAGATGACCTGTGCAAATATTTTCGTTTACCTTTACACTCGTAACTCCAGTGACCGTATTCCAAACACTTTTGACATCGCATTCCTTGAGATGATAGATTACTGAAATTCAATTAAAATGTTAATAACCATATAAGATATTATTATAAAATGTTGATATAAATATATGGAAAAATAAATTAACCTATAAATAAATACTTAGATATATATTTATATAAGCATATAAAATGTACTAACGTTTTCTTGATCACTTTTATTTTATTCGAGCTCATTTTTACTTTTTGATTACTAGTATTATTATTATTATTATTTAATATTTGTAACAATCTTGTTTATACAATACGTGTGTAAATAAATTTCTCTAGTAGTTTATTTACACATATAAAAATAATTCCGAGAGGTTATTTCACAAATATTTGGAATAAAAACAAAAGTGGGGATAAACACAAAAGGAAATGAATTATTTATCTTTAAGTTGGTAGATGGCGGTAGTTTAATTGATTGGCGCCATTTTACAAATTCATTTTGTAATGCACATTTAAAATAAACATACATACTTATAACGATATGAATAAATGGATTCTTATGCTTATAATAATAATAATAAATTGTTTCGTTCCAATGAAATAGTAAATAAAAAGGAAAATGTCATTTTTTTAAATATTGAAACAAATATTATGAAAGATGTAATAAATATGTTCGAAGAAAATTGTCGACAAAAAGAAATGCAATTAAATAATGCTAATATTCAATTGGTAATTACAAAATTGGTATTTATACAACATATAAGGATGAATTGACAAGTTTTGAGCCTCGATAAAAAAATACACGTTTTATTTTTTAAATGAAATTGTTTTTATGCCAGCTGCAAAACTTGTCATCCTATCCATATATAACAAAATGTTTATTGTGTTCTCATATTTTGAGATTTATTAGAATACTATATAAGATATATTTCTTTTGTAGAATAATACCGAGCAAGAAAAATGGATTATAAGAGATCAGTTTTGTTCTCAAGTATGGAACTTTTCACGCGATCATGATTTTTCCAAAGTTTTTCAATATTATCCATATATTACAAATTCAATTAAACCTCACGATTGTCCATATAATAACGAAATTAAAAGTATTCAAAATGAATACCATAATAATACAGGTTACTAGTTACAAATAGTACAGATAAATGAAATAATTTTATTCTAAATTGTTCATACTATTTTCTTTTTAATTTTCATTTTATAGATATGCAGTACAATGAAGATATTCAAAAGTTATCAAAAGAAATTTCTATTTTAACTAAAGAATTACTTGTTATTACTGTCGATAAAAATTTACAAGAGACAACAATAAAAAATTTATCTGTAAGAGTAGAACGATTGAAATTGTTTTCAGAAGAAATAAAGGACTGTCTTAGGTACAGTTTGATAGTTTCTTGGATAGGTTGAAAAGTTTTGAACCTAGCATAGAATAAATTTAAAAGGTTTTTTGTTGAGGTTCTATATTTTTCAGCTCACCCTGCATATCAAATACAGATTTGATGCATTATCGAATTTGTTTTCTATTAATATTAAAGACATTTACCCTTTTTTTTTAAATTATTTTTAGGTTGATATCTGCTGCTGGGAATTTAAGTGACAATAAAAAATTAAAAATTAATGGTAAATACATGGAAATTTAGCTCTACTAATTTTATTAAAATTTCACTAAAATTTATTACAGTATTAACTAATTATAAAATTAATGCACAGATTTAGAACGCAAAAATAACAACTTGATAGTTAATGGAAAGAAAGATAATGCATTGACATTTACTACGGCAAAAGAACTCCTTGAACAATTCAAACCGTGTTCATCTGTTTTAATTAAAAACAGTAACACAGTATCAAAAACAATGGTTGTAAATAGTAACGCAGTAAAACATTTCATTAAAGTAATTATAATTTTCCTATACAAATCTATTATCTACAAATGTTATACCAATCAAAATTGACTTATTGGAATAAATTTTATAACGTTATATTTTATTTGTTTTTCTTATAGGATGAGAAAGAAGAATTTAAAAGCAAATTTACAGTAAAAGTACAAAGTAATTTGTCATTAAAGTTTGAACAGAATCGACAGCTTAAAGAAAACGAGAAGAAATGTTAATGTACGTATTGTCATCCTTGTATTAAATTTTGGAAATATTCTTAAAACTGTATATTCATATATTTTAAAATAATTATATATAATCGTTACTTCACACGCAAAGTAAGAAAAAAAAGTAGTTCAAAATTTAATTACATAATTTTTAATATAATACTTTTTAAATATTTATCTAGCCCTATATAAAAATTCTTATAGATAATTAAATTAAAAAAATATTAATTATTGATATGCGAAATGCATTTAACATACATTCTGTATAATAAAAAGTATGCCAAAAATAAGATATTTACTTTTTATAGTATATTTATATATTTAGAAATATTTATACAGGATTCTATATGATTATATAATATACATTGAATTACATTAATATTACATTTGTTTAAATTATACACATAATATTGCGCTCGACACATACCATCATCCAACACAATTTGAGAATAGAATATTTTCTATTTCCAAACGGTATTGAAACTAGCCACTTCTAATCCACAGGTTCTTTTTTTTCTTTACTTATTTATTTTAAAACTGTTAAACAGTTTATCACATCGAATTGTATTGTAGCATTAATATTGGCAATTTACACTTGTATCAGTAATACATGCAGGTCCTTACAATTTTACAATTAAATTTGAATAATTTTCAATTAAATAATCGATTAAAACAATGTTATATCTATAGAAATATTTGTGCTTTGATAAATTATCTTTTTTTAGATAATTTTAACTGAACAATTAGAGCAAATAATGCAATTTAAATTGCCTTGTAAAAATTATAATTAAAGAAAATAATATTTATAGTATACATATATATCTATAAAACAGCATTGAACTGTAATAACATTCATTGAATAAACTTGTTTATTACTTGTTTAGCATTACGTGAATAAATTATTCATAAAGTATATTATTAACCAAACATTAATATATGTATACACGGATGTACGCGAATTCTATAACGAAATATGATTCTAAATATTAATATGATAATACATATTTAATAATTAATAGCATAGAAACTCTTTCTTTTAATTATATTCGAATTTTCTGTATTTCTTTATATTCTCTATATGCTAGATTTATTTATTATTGTAATACGTGATATAAAATTTGGAAAATATTTACCAAAATAATTCAATAGCGTGTCATTATCACAACCATTTGCTGTAACAATGATATTATTATATATTTCAGCAGAAATAAGGAAAGTGAAATAAGCATTAATAAATGCTAATTAAAATGTATCAATTTAATACCTTTAATCAAAATTCTATTTCTGTATTTTTCTATTTTAAAATAAAAGATAAATATATGTTTATTCTACATATATATTTACTTTTTAAATGAAATAGTAAACCATAAAGAAAGAGTCCGATGCTTTGCATATATTTCCAAAGACAATATGTAACATATAAAATTATTGAAACTTTTTAAATATCTATATACTTACATAAATGTAAATAGCTACAATCGACAGAACTTTAAGCATCATTAATTCAAAATACGATAAATATGTTAATTATAAAAGCTTTTGAATGCGTGAATTGAAAAAACCCATAAATTTAACTCTTGCGCGATGCTAAATCTACAAATATCCGAATGAAAATTAAATCTACACAAATAAGAATATTACGGTATTATTAATGTAATCTTATTTAGATAACATCAGCCAAATAGCTAACAATATATTTGTCTGTAAATAACAATATAATGCACATATGGATATTCATAAGAACATTTGTATACAATTACTTCTTAACACTTATATTGGCACTATGTCTCTGTGTACAGTCAAGAGAATATTATAAACGATAAGAAAAATACAATTTTATGCTCGTGTGTATACTTAATATTTATTATTATATTAAATATTTATGTTTGGCAGCATTAACCCTTGTCATGATAATGTATTGTAATTATTCATTTTACAATCTAGACTGAACGTGTAATGACTATTACAAGAATTGAACAGAATCAAAATAATTGTTCTTATACTTTGAAAATGCTATATATGCTCAATACTATACTCTCTCTTTAATACCGTAACAAATACGTATAAATGCTATTAAAATAAATACTTTCTAATCTTTTTTAACAATATAAAAGCAGCAATTTATAATTAATACTTTCAATATTAAAAAATGAATAAAACTATTATTATAAATATCTCTTGACTGACACTACATGATAATACATAAAATATTTTATTTCTAGTCTAAATGCTTTCAGCAACTATTTATTATATATTTATTAAAATAATGTTACAATTTATCGTTTTGTGCTTTGTATTTATGTAATAAAATATATAGATACTGTATGTCAAAAAAAATTTAACAAAAGAGATTTAAGATTTAAAAGCTCTCTCTCTTACGATAGAATTATTATTACCCAAATAAAAACTTTCACTAAATATGATGAAACAATAATTGTAATTATAACTTTTATTTTCCTTATTTTTAGAATCGGTATATTCTTACGTCTATAATAGCTGCATATATATTTATACTGTCAAAAATAAAAAAATAATGTGCCGTTTAGCATATTTTACTTAAATATATATATATATATATATATATCTGCTTAGTCATCAGAAGAATACCTCTGTTTTGAATCTCTTATGTTTAATTTTATACCTGATAAAATGACAATATGTTTGTATTTGGAAAAAAGAACAAGATGATTAGAAGTAAATATATAATGTATATATGGTGATCAAAATTTAAACACCCCTAAGAATTCATAATACATGTATACAGTTGGCAAAATTGTGTTCGGTAAAATAACAATAGAATATAAGAAATACAGTGTGACATAATTGATGTCGATTCTTAATATTTTCATTAATCATGTAGTATAAAGTAGAATCAACATTCATTTGACATTACAGATTTGTAGATCTTAATCAAATATATTAATGTTCAGCCTCATAAATATTGCATATCTAATAGACAAATCAAAACGGAAGTAAATTATCTCTAACAATTTGAGAAGATCAAATTTATGTATATCCAGAAATTTATTTTTTTAAATATACTAATATTATGATCGTTTTTTCTTTGATGCAATTTCAGGCATAAACTTTGTCCTTATAAGTTACCATATTATGTTTCCAACTTTCTTAAACGTATGAAAGATAAATAAATAAAAATAAAGGAAAGAGCTGTTAATTAACTTATTATTTAAAATTATCTTTTAAAAAAGATCACATAATATAAAAGAAATACTTCAAGAATAAACGCAATTGAAATTCATATATTCTTAAAAGCGCTTATATATGCAGGATTCTATCATGATTAAACATTTTTACATATTTTTGTTTGTACTAACAATGTTATATAAGTGTGATTCATGCTACCATAGTATCTAAAATAGCTTCATCATTTATTTGCAAAATAAACTTCCAATTCAGCACCAATTACATATTAAATGTATGTTCCTCTTTATATTGAAAACATTACAAATATGTATTATTCACTTTGCAACAATAAAAATATTGCTCACTTTATACAATGCATATCAGTAACATTAATATGTTGTTATTTAAGTGAGATCATTATAATATCATACTTTGTATCACGTGCATTAAGAATCGACATCTATGTGATATACAGAAGGCTAGATTTGTTACATTGATCGATAAGGACCTTGCATCTTAAGAAATTGAATAACCAATGATGGACCTCCTGCAACTATTTCTGGAGGAATATGTGACAAAGGACAATTCTCAATTGACATAATACTAAGATTTGTGCATAAAGCTAGTTCAAAAGGTAAATTATGTAAATTTGCATTATCATTAACATAAAGAGAATCTAAATTTTCTAATGTCCCAATCTCTTCGGGTAGATAATTAAGATTATTTTCTCCTACGCTCAAATGTGTAAGGTTTGTTAAATGCCCAATCGCTCTTGGTAATGAAGTAACTTGGTTTGACTGCAAGATTAATTTTTGTAAGTCTCGTAAAAATCCTATTTCATTTGGAAGAGACTCTATTTTATTTTCTTCAAGATCTAAGACCCTGAGCTTACGTAAATTTGCTATACTGGCAGGAATACGTTTCAATAAATTATTAGATAAAATTAATATCTCCAAACTTTGAAGGCATTGAATATCATCTGGAATTTTGGTTAGCTGATTCGTACCAAGATTTAATTCGACCATATTGATCCATGTTCCAGTATCCAGAGGTAAAGCAGTTAATTGATTTTCTTTCATGTTCAGTTTAGTTAGATTTTTAGCTCTAGAGAAAATACCATAAGGTATTTTATCAATCTGATTATGTTCAAGATTAATAGAGTAGACATTTGTAAATTGAGATGGTCCTCCTGATGGATATGCAGTAAATGCATTTCTGGACAATGTAATTGTCTTCAAATCAGAGAGACTGGAGAGTAATCCATCTGGCAGTTGGGAGACCTGATTCCCTTCTACGCTGAATTCATCCATTAATTTACAATTTGCTAAGGATTTTGGAATACTAGATAAACGATTGTATCGAAGACCTAATCTAGTGATTAACACCAGATTTCCAATGGTATCCGGTATATCCAGGAGTTCGTTATGCTGAAGATCAAGCGTAGACAGTTGAGTACAGTTTCCTATTTCTTCAGGTAAATGTTCCAGATGATTATGAGATACATCAAATGTTATTAAGTTAGTAAGTTTGCCAATACCGGCTGGAAGTTCCTTGATTTTATTTTCCCTTAGACTGAGCATTGTTAAATTTGTTAAATTTCTTATATTTTCGTTGACATACCTGACGCGATTGAATCGTAAAAACAATGTAGTGAGAGACGTTAGCTTGTAAACGACATCGGGTATCTCGTTCAATTTATTGTGCCTCAGATCAAGTACTTTTAATGACTTCAAATTTTCTAAGGTACTCGGTAAACTCGTAAGCGAATTTTCGCTCAACGCCAACGTTTCGAGATTGGCTAAGCAACCTATTTCTGGTGGAAGAGTTACTAATTTGTTACCGTAAAGATAAAACTCTACCAGGTGGGTCAAATCTCTAACTGTGCTCGGAAGATTCGTTATGCTCGATTTGCTTAAATCGAGACGCTTTACACACTCGTCCTTGCATCTTACAAACTCCTTGGAGACATCCAAGTCAGCTTGAATGGGTTTTCCTTTTTTGGTTGTCGGTTTAGGCTTATTTGACTCTGGATGTTTGACAGTCACGGTCTTTTTCGTGTCAGGTCCCGCTATGGAAGCACTGGATAATTTTTTCTCCTTCAAGTGCTCCCTGTTATCTCGTAATACTTCCACGGCCTCAGGCATGTCGCCGGTTGTCGCCGTGCAAGTTGTCAGACCACAGCCCTCCAAATATTCGGGTATATCCTGCTCCTTCATGTAAATAGTTGGAAGATTATCCCGGAGGTCTCCTCGGTCCCTCTTCACCTCCGACAAACACACCGTCGAAATGTTACCCACACCCGTCCAATATTTAGTCGACTTTTTCATAATCTAATACCACTAGACGCGATTATCTATACTCCTTACGAGAGTTTTAAGATTTGTATTTTCCTATGGTATATTTACAACATCACATATTTTTATCAACTTTCCTTCTTTTATGACTCTATTGACATTATTGACGTTCGTCTGACGCGGCGCAAACGCGGAACGGATTTGGAAACGGTGATATACGATAGGTAAACTCTCTTTTATATATATATATAATGCATATACATATATATTTGTATATAGGTATATATTGTATAGAGACGATCTTCCTTTCTTTAAAAACCTTCCGCTATATTATTTATTCCAAACAATATTTTTACCACTCAATATAACATGGATGTTTTTATCAATAGCTTATTCTATTAACTTTCCTAGTGAATATACAGGGTAGCACAAAAACTGAAACATTACAAATGTATATCTCTACAATGGTACTCGCTTAATCTGTTTTCTTCTTCTTCAATTATGTTCTACGCGCATGATCTTTCCTCATTTTCGTTGAAGCTTTGGTAAAGTTCTTTCTCTTCGGTATTCTTCGATTGAATTTTAGATTTATCGATTTATATCTTAATTCTGCGCTTTTAATATTATGATACGCGTACTTTTGTCTATATAGACAATTGTACTAAACAATTGTTAATATTATTTTACGATGATTGGATAGACTAATGTAAGATCATCGAATAGGATTTCAGGATTTGGACTAATTATCGTAAGTACGTTTTTTATTGGCAAATTTTTTGTACGTATATTTGTTCGTAAATAATAACCAATTATATTTGATATTTTTAGGAATTTCTTAAATAATACAATTATGATTATAATTCAGAGTTAAATTTGTACATTCAAACAACAAGAGAACGAATGTCCATTAGTTTAGGTAGGTTCAATACAAATTGTTCTATGTATCTTTCTAATCTAATATAATAATCAAACTAGAAAAATTATGTCTGAAAAAATGTTTAATATATCCAATAAGTTTGATGTATATCTTTTTTATTGTTTATATAGGATTTTATACAATTTATTGTCAACCACATTTAAATATATTAATTCATTTTGTTTAAAACAAATAAACTTATGAACACCTTCATATATTAATTTTACTTTCAATTTATGAGACCATTCAATACATCTCGCTTTTATATATTTTTAACTTATTTCTATTCTATTTTAATTCATTAAGAATATTATGCATTCTATTCGGAGAATAAAAAAATGTTTCTTTATTAAACTAACTAGCTTTGGATCAACTCGACAGTATTTCATTATGCTATAAATTTGTAATAAATAAATATATGGAATCTTGAGTTGAAAACTCTACTTTCATAATAATTCTTCTGTTACCTTCCTTTTCCATAGATAATATACGCATATTTGTTAATAAAATATAAAGAGAAATTTTCTTTTTACGTAAGCATATGGAAATTAAAATTTATACACATCAATTAATCTAATATTGTAAAATTTTAACTACAAAATTAACGTCATAAAGATGGAGATGTATTTTGATCGATAGATTCAATCATAGATTGCGTATCTAAAAATTCCATTGTTTTTGTACTATTTGCCATTTCTTGTTGCTTTCTTTTAGTTTCAAGCGCTTTCATATATGCAAGGAAAGATGTCCACATTAAACTGCAAATACTTACATAAACTATACGATTGTGTTCTGGAATTAACACAAAGTTAATAGTTTGTAGAATAGGCCATACGCATACTCCGATCTAAAAATAAAACAGACTGCCATTTTTATCTATAATTTTACTTTCTTTTATACGATAAATTGTAAATTGTACCTTGTAAGTTGGCCAGAATTTCTGTTTTACTTCTTCTATGCATTCTGAAATAGACTTTTGTTCAAGTAAATTCATTCCAAAGAAAAAGCAACACATTGCTGTTGGAGTGTATGTAACTTGTTCTACTAATGCCTGCAAATTATTTATATACATAATAATACATTAAGTATATTTAATTCTACCGCAACATACATATAATATTTTTTGAATCTTACTTTTGTGATCGCAGATTTAAAATCAGATTTTGGCCAAAAATGTGAGGCACATCTTAACCAACAATATAAAGTAGGTGCTACAAAAAAGCCACCATACAAACTAAATCTTAACGCTTCAGGATAATTCAATTCTGGTCTACCTGTTATTTTTTGCTGAAATAAGCTTGCGGATGGCCATATAATGGCATAAGATGCCATACCCCGTACGATGGGATATTTTTGTGATACTTCACGGAATTTAACTAAAATTATCCGCATATTTTTATATATATATATAATCACTAAAACAAAAAAATAATTATAATTTACTATTATATTATTTATTTTATACCCTTTAACTTATACTAATTAATAATTATATATTTTATTAAATGTATTCTTTTGTTAAAATTTATGCAATTCAATTATATATATATATAATTAGGTATATTATTAATGAGAAATTAAAGGAAAACTTAAAAAAAGATAAAAAAAGTTACGTTTTGCGATAACGAAGAATGTAAATCTACTGTGTAGATTCTTTCTTTCACATGTTTTTATTTATTCTCACTGATAACACTTGGCATATCATATACGTGAAAAGGTCGTTGGTATTAATTGAATAAAAGTATTGCAAGGCCAATCAACGGTTCTCCTTTGTGAAGATCCCGAAGATTTAGCCTTTTGATAATATCGTTGCATCGGGAAACGATTCGGTACTACAGGAAACTTGCGCATATTCTCAATGACACGAACCTGACTTATGCGCGATACGCGCAAAACTTTTGTCGATTACGAAATTAGTCGATCCATTCTTATCTGTCCTTGATTACTTATTAGTGGTGGTCCTTAACTACGGCTTGATTGAATTTGGTGATACTTCAACTGTTGTTGTGCAAGCAAAGTAAAAATTAATGACGAGTCTTCCATTTTTTTTTTTATAGAGATGCATTGTGCATGACAATCCCAAAAGAAAGATCTTATACTAGAGTTGATATGTTTCCCTGTGACGTTTTAACAACGATTCTTTCGTAATACAAACGCTGACGTTTAAACGCGTCATGCGTGCACCTATTATTAACATAAACAAATGCTATTCTGAATCTAATACGTAAGAAAGGGAAAACGGTTTTTACAATGATTCATTAATCAGTTTTTAATACAATTTGCTAACCAGGTTTGGCAGTTCAAATATTAACGTTTCATTTTTACAATATTATATTTTTACAATAGTATCCAAATATATCTTTTTATCCTCTATTTTATGAACAATATTATACAAAAAATATAACTTGATAATTATTTATAGATATCAAAATATATAAAAGTTAGAAATGCTAAAATCTCTGTAATTATTACATATTATGTACATTTTTCATTACAATATATTGTCTCATTTATATTTACATGGATCCAAATAATTCTATTGAAAATAAAACAAAACTTCATACGTAGATTTTTATTAACATAAAATAATAATAATACTCGATTAAAAAATCGTTAACTCATGATTATACTTCAAAACTCAAAAATGCTTCCTTATACTAGCGTTTCCCAAACCACATTCCATACAAGTTTATTTTACTTTAAAATAATTTACTTAAAATTTAAAATTAAATGTTTTTTTTTTCTTATATAACTCATATATTAATTGGCTTCATTTATTTATTATTAGCCTACCCTATAAAATAACTATGGCGTTCTTTTAAAATTTCAGAATTTATGAAGTGTTCTCTGAAAAGTTCGAGAAACGCTGTTTTATACAATGTTTAAACAAAATAAAATAATATTAATAAATCGAATTCAGCATAAGTATAAATATAAATTTCATGTAATTAATTTTCCAGAATAATTTTTAAATAGACAATGTGTATTAAGTAATTTTTTTAGAGATTTTTTTGATCACTTTGCATTCATTTTAGATGATAAAAAAATACTGCATATTCTAATATTTATGATTTTACATCCATTATTTAAAATTATATACACTGCATACCAGCATCAATATTAATAATGTTAGAATAATTTCACTGATGTGTTATGAAGATTCAATTGCCTAAGTTGTCCATTGATTTTTACTATTTTTAGTAAAAAATTAAAACTACTAAAAAACGTAGTGTTCATATCGCTGTAATGTCAAATAAATCAAATATCCCTTCATTATCACTAAGATTAAATGCATAATCTTTATCTCCTGGTGGTGGGCTTAATCTGACAAGCGGACCACAGACTATAAACACGCAATAGAAAAATGTCATGAATATTCAAATTTATGGAATATATTAAAAGAACTAATTTAATACGATTACTTACTATCAGAACATATTTGGTCAAGTATTTCAATTTCCCCTTGAATTATGTCTATAATGAAATGGATTAAATTTTAATTAAAGATAAATATAAATTGTTCATAATTTCAATATTAAAGAATTATTAATATCGTTTACCAGATGTATTTACATCGCGAAGAACTATCTTAGCCTCTATCATTTCTGGATCATCTTCATCTTCTTCATCAGATAACGTAGAACTATGCTTACTGTTACCTTTCGGTGGTCTATAAATATATACATACATATATTTATGTATATTTACACTATCCAGTGTTTAATTATTGAATATTCTATTGTATGCAAAGGATAACTAACCAATAATATTTTTGTATGGTTTATACCAAATGAAAAACATATATTTAATAGTTATTCATCCCCTATAAGCCAATATAGTTACTGTCTGCTCTTTGTTAATCAATAATATAACTTTACAATTACTGATATTTAAAGAGCAAATTTTTTAATATTAATTATCTCTTTAATTAGCTTTAAAATATAATTTAGTTGTAAAAATTTTTACCTTCCCACTTTCCTCTTTGGTTTAATGTTGCTATCCTCTTTCTTCTCGTCTTCTTCTTTCACTCTCTTCATACCTTTTGTTTCTTCTTGCAACCTCATTTCTAATACCTTATTATCATAAGCTTTCGCTAATTCCGGCTGAATCATGTATACCTTGATTTCACCTGAATTACTTTTTAATAACATTTCATAATTTGTGTCTCTTTCTTCGTCATTTATTACCTAACGAAAAAAAAAAAGAAAGAAAATGTTACAAATCACACAGATAATACCTGATATTATATATTTTTATGTGTATTAACCTGATTCATATTTGGCACAGTCAATTCAGTATCTGGTGGTGCTTGAATTCCTAACACAAAGTCATCGGGAAAATTTTCTTTAACATCTTCATAAGAAATATAAGCATACTTTTTATTAATTAAATCACTCTCTATATTTTTTATACTCTGTTGAATCCACTGCGTATGCTTATCCAGTAGACGTTCATGATCTTCTAATTTTTTAAGTTCATCTTTAATTTCTGTCAATTTTTCACCAACTTCTTGCGTATTACAACCAGGACCAGCCCCTCTGCATAAGACATATGATAAATCAGTGTTTATATTGAATTTAACTAAAAACTGTTATATATTAGATTGAATAATAATAAATTAATATACATACTTCCATTGGATACTATTTTTACTTCTCTTTTCTATAAGACCTATTCCCTCAAGGACATTAGTAATGTCATAAATGCGTCTTTTTTGTCTAACTTCTAGAATATCTGCGGCCTGTAATATTATAACGAAACATGTTTATCTTAATTAATAAGCAATATATTCATTTAAAATAACGGTATCATATTCGTAATTCTTTATATATAGGTTATGTTTACTTCGCATATTGAATTAGGAGAAACGATTACTGTAAAAGAAAATTAAATAATCGAAAAAAAATTAAATAATCTTTGGATGTTTTTTTTTTTGGAAAAATATTTATACAAAGAATGAATGTAAAAATTGTTACGTTATTAGTATACTTCTTTTAAAATTCCCGCAAGCTAGAAATGGCGTTTCATCCGTAACGAACTTAACCTAGCGTGCAAGTTAACTTTTTGTCTTACAACTTAAATAAAATTACTTACGACTTTTAAATCGAGAATGCCGTCTTTCGCCTTTTGTAAGAGAGTAACGAATCGAGTAGTCAATAAACCAAGAGATTTTTCGAATCTACTTTGCTGATTATCTGCCATTTTTAAGACCGTTGTCAAAATTTTCAAAACTGGCTACTCTCTTCGAAATTGCCGCAACACCTCGGACGCCATCACAAGCAATGAGTAAATAACATTCAAATAAAAGCGCGTATATAATATAAATATACAATATTATCAATTAGAGTGAACTTTTTTTTTCAATAATGTCTTTGCATTATATCGATTATATCTTTTTAATTAACAATTTATTATTTTATTTTATATTTAAACAATAAATATAACATTTTTAAATGCGAAATTGATTATGCTTATAATTATTCAAATGAGAAAGAAATAAATGAGATTTTTGTGATATATTATATAAAGATATAAGTATTTTAAATATATACACATATATATAATAATATATATTTATATATATTATTTAAAATATTTTTACAAAATGTAGTTAAGAAAGTTATCATCTTTTCTAAGAAACATATATTTTATAATACAACCTATTCTTTCTCTCTTTCTTCTCTCTCTCTAAACGATTATTTTAAATTAATTTTATGTACAATTAAATGTTCTATGTGTATCATAATAAATATATATGATCATTTACAATCTACATAAAATATGTACAATAACAAAAGTATTTACAAATTTTTATTATGGAAAAATAAATTCATTAGTTGCAGTAGTTGCGTCGGGACTAAGACTAGAACTTGCAGAACTAAGAGTTTCCTCCTTAACCTTAAGCGTTGATGATGGATCTTTATCTTTAGTTTTATCTTTGTCTTTGTCTTTATCTTTTTCTTTCTCTTTTTCTTTATCTTTCGTTTTATCCTTATCTTTTTTATCTTTGTCTTTTCCATGTTTATGATCGTGCTTGTGCTTATGTTTATGTTTGTGCTTTTTCTTATCTTTCTTCTTTTTCTTATTCTGAGAAATTAATAATTACATAATGATAACAAATTATATATAACACACATACACATATTCATAATAAACTAATATAATAAAATTTACTTTATTAATAGAATCAGTTCTTTGTTTATGTTCTTCTGAGTCTTTTTTAAACATTCCAGGTTCAAAACCTACAGGACCTTGCGTTCCCATAATACCTGGTAGAGATGCAGAATTATCACTGTAATACTCCGATTTTACTTTACCATCATTAGGAACTGGTGTAATGCGTCCTTCCTGCTGGAAATAGAATAACAAATTATTTTTAATATTATATCATTTTTATATTTTATGTAAAGAGTAAATAAAAATTGACCTTACATTGTTTATTTGCTTTAGGCGTTTTACTTCCGGAATGTAATCGGTAGAATTAGATGGTCCTGGTGTATCTTTACTTGGCGATGCTTTGCGTTTATTAGCTCCGCTCATATTATCTAATTCGATAACTGATTCATGTTTTATATGTTGAATATTTGGTTTTACCTATATAATTAAATATAGTTTATTAGAGTTAAGTATCTCTGTGTTGATATACTTTTTTTAAATAATAAAATCATCAGATAAGAACAGATACATACCTCTCGTTCAGGGCTATTTTGAGGGCCAATTTTTTTAGGCTTAGTAATAAGTGCAAGTTCTGGTATCGGAAGACAAGCAGGACGCTTTATACCATACAGAGTGTAGTACAAATCAACTAAGTCGCATCTCAATTTGGCATCGTGCGAAAGCATACCACTAAGTGATAAAAGTATTATGTAAGTTAATCTTTATTGGTAATGATTAATCAAATTAATATTTAATACCATTTAATTATACATACTTAATTAAGTTCCAAATGCGATCTACTAATTCAGGTTTGTCTAAGTGATGTTTTTGACCTTTTTCGAATGGTGGATTCTCAACCATTAATCTTACTAGTCTATGACGTACTCCAGGATGTGGATCCATCTCTGCCATATCTAACAAAAATTCCAAATCTTCCCATTTACCGTCGACTCTTGTAAAATCTACTAAAGCTTCTAGAGCTGCAATTCTTATATCTATTTTGAAGAAAAAATTAATCATTATTTTTAAACTATGCAACAATTATATAATATAAGCAAATATCTTCTGATAAATATTTATCTAAGTACCAATGAATTGCCCATATGCTGCATAGGATCTAAATAAATGAGGATTACTTGGAAGATGGCCAAATTTTTGTAAAATTCTTATAACTTTTAAGCATGATACGCTAACAGTATACTTATAACAAGGTAATAATTTTTCTAAATTTAAATTCCTTGTAACTTCTTCTAATATAGCCTTTGTATCAATCGATAAAGATTCAGCAGTGATAGCTGTCCTAAAATATTTCACGTATAACAAATTTAGAATATTATGATTGATTGTATATTTTATATATATTATAAAGAAAATTGTATTTTACCCTTGTTGTACGCTAATGACTGGCGTTACTGTTGCCCCAAGTGCTTCAATTAAAGCTGCTCTATAATAATTATCTGAATATCTATTTTTACTATTGTCATTATATTTGAATAAATCCATTAGAAAGGCCAAAACCTCAGGAGGACAAATACCATGAGCATTGCGCAATCCTGCCATTGCAACAGGTATAGTCTATACAAAAAATAAATAAGATGAAATTTTATAATTTATATATAGATGCACATGAAAGCATAATAACATTAATATTTTTAAAAAACATGTAAAAAAGATGAGAATTTACTTTTTGTAAAAAATAATGTTGAAAATTAGAAAAATTATTTTGTTTAATAATTCTTCTACAAGATGCAGAACCAAATAACTTTCGGAAAATTGCTAACATCGCTGGTGGGCCAGCCCATGTTGCTACCATTGCATTAGCAACCTATATAATATAAAAGTAATGATTAACATTTTTTAAATTAAACTTAGATAATGATGTATTTTATAAAAGTAAAATCTGAATATTACTTTTGTCAAGCAATGTGCTGCTCTAAGTCGCACTTTATAATAACAATGTTCATTTTCAATGGTGTCTGTTAATGCAAGTCTCGTCGCAGGTGTTGAATGATTTTGCAATGCTTCTATAGCTTCCAATTGAGCTGTTACGTCTCTTTCATGTCTTAACTGATACTGCCATTGATAATCTGGTTGTTCAATATGAACTGCACGCATAAGAGTCATGTCTGGATCTAATCTTATCCATAAAACTGGAGAATCGCTATAAATAAAAAAAAATAAAATGATTAAATTTGGTAGGTTATATAATTTAATAAAATAATTAATTTTAATAGTTACTTACTCCATCGCAGAAAGATCCATATCAACTTCTTCTCCTGTACAAAGTGGAATCTTTTTTTTCTTATTTCTACGGCTTTTACTATGACACGTTATATCTGCTTTAGCCGCAGTACCTTCAATTTGCAAAGTATGTTTAAAAGTACCATCCAATTCTTGAATGTTCACTAGTAATGGTCCTACGTATTTTCTAATTCCTCTTTGATGGATTGTATCTTGTCGAATTTCCAACTCCACTGTATTTCTATATATTACGTAATTACATTTATATTATTACGTATTTATCAACATTTATACTCTAATTAGTAAAATAAAAATAAAAATTATTAAAATATATTAAGCATAGAGACCTTTTTCTATTGAACACGAAACTTAAGCTAAATTTAGCATGGCCACCTGTTCTAACCCATTGATCTATAAAAACAGCCATATCTTTCCCAGTCACTGTAAAAATGGCCTTTGTGAACACATTTGTACTAATTAACATATGAGACCACAGACCAGAGTCTATTTTTTGTTGAGCAGCATTTGCAGCAAGTGATAACTGTTTATTGAAGACCTAGAAAATGGAAGATTTTAAATTAGAGTTATTGAATAATTTTTTTTCGATTTATATGGAGTGATAATCAGTAGTGATAAATACTTGAAGAAGTAATTCCTGGCCTATCCTATGTTCTAACATTCTTATAACTAAATGGGCTTTTTTCCGAAGTACTTCAATGTATTTCGGTGACATAGTATGCAAATTCCTTATAGGAAAATAAAAACCAGGATCAGGTGCTCTAGGAGCTGGTGCTGGAGTATTTGCTGCAATGGGTAAAGGAGCAGGTGGTTGAGATGGATCCAATATGATACCTCCAAATTGTTCTTCATATTTTACAACCTCTTGAAGTTCCTGAAGATAAAGAGTATAATGTTTATTTATATTTACACGTATTTTTAAAAATTTATATTATATAAAATATATATAAGTGATCAATTGATTACTCACTGATTGAATCCATTCTCTGTATTCATTATTACCAAAACATTTTTTGGCATATAATCCTGTTAAATATGTCGATATGCCTTTTGGTAACCAAGTATCAGACCAATTTTGCATTGATATAAAACAGCCAAAGAATTGTTCCGCAATTGCTTGCGCCATTGCTTTCTTTGTGATGTAAACTTGATCAATAATTGCAGTAGAATGCAATAAATTTGTACTATAAAAAACGATATTATGTTATAATATAATTTATAAGAAATATAAATCAACATCAATCATAATTTTAATGGAACATATTTAGAAGATTTAATCTTACTTTAAAATGCTCATAGTTGCATATGCATTAATATCTTCGTCTATCTCATCAACGAATACTTGTTTATAGCAGGAATATGGATATCTATTGGATAATGTTTCTTCGTAAAATTCGAATGCCTCATGCATATACTTTGCAGATACTTTTAAGGACGGTAACAAATGTGGTAAACAGAAATGCGTTACTTCGTGCATATAAGGATCCACAAATATTTCAAAAGGTCTGGAAACAAAGGTAAAATAAATGTTAAAATTATAATATAACTATTAATTGTATAACGAATTGTAAGCATTTTGAAAAAGTTCTTTTCAAACAAATATTAAATTAAAAAGAGAAAATTATTTACCCAACAGCAAGAGCAATATTTGGAGCACACGCTGGAGTGTTGAGAATGTAATGGAAAGTTTTTCTGCGCATATCAGGGGTAAAAACAACTTCTACTAGATCTCCACAAGATATAGCAGTCATAGTATCATCAACTGTAAATTCTAATTTCCAAGTACAAGGCTCTGCAAAACTATCAACACAGGGAAACCACAATCTTGATGAATTTTCATAGCTATATGTATACATATGAGCACCT